CAGCTGGTCAAGAGGAATCCGCCGTCGTCTTCTGGTGGAACCGACCCTTGAATCTCTTCACCCAACACTTTCACTCGAAATGGAAGTAAGCTCAACAATAAAAATAACGAACTCCATTGTCCTTTCATGTCTTTTAACCTTCAAAACGTAGAACTCTCGACTCACTCACTTGTTGCTCTGTTCTCGACCGCTGACCAACGACCTGGTTTCTTAACACCGTCCGGTGGTTGCCAGGTCACCCATTTCATCTTACATTGTGTGGCTCTGGGAGTTTCCTTCCTCCAAAACCTCGTGGTGCCATTGTCGCCATATTCACCGGCATAATCACTTTGTGCCCGCCTTGGCGGCAGGTTTGATTGCGCTTTCGTTGTTGCCTTTTTATTTGCTCTAACCTGGTTGCAGAGCCCGGCTGAGGCCCATCGCGGTCCTGTTTTGGTCTCTTCTTGCTTGAGAAAATAATTGCCTTGTCTGACTGCGGATTCTGGCGAACAGACATCATAGAAACTGTCCAAAAAACGGGCGTGTCGCCGACCATTCGACTTTACTGCAACTCGCCTCGACCAGGGCGCCCAACCTCCATCGCCGCGAATTCTGCCAACACCACAGTCAGTTTCTATTCCTTCCGTCTCGATGTCTCTTTTGGCTCCGTGAGCCCTCAGTTGGCGTAGGCTCCCGTAGCCGCCATCCAGATCGTTTACGAACTCGTTTTCGGTCGCCAGCTCTCCTCCGACCATCAATTCTCGGTCCTCACTTTTTGTCCAACTTATGTCGCCCAAATTATTCACCTCTTCATGGTGGCTCAACGAGTTTGGCGTCCCATTTGTTTCTCCATTCATCGCTTCCGAACCAGCCGTGCAGGCACTCTCGTTGCTTCGCTTTTTCGTCTTTGTCACTCAATTTGTTCGTTTAACAGTTTAAAGCCACAAAAGTATTGTATGTTTAAAGGTAACAGGAAAGCCTCAATCCTAGCGAGGCATCAATCCTTTTCCTAGCACTCACTTTTGCTCGCGATCAAAACCATCCAAGAACGAGTCTCAATACATCTTGGCACAC